ATTGCAAATATGATACCTTTCTTTGCGTTGTTCTGGTTTACATGACCGCCAGGCGTTCGACACATGTTTTCTTATCAGGAACGTGACGTTATCTCTTGATACTATCGACTGTACTTTTATTCATTTTATTCTTGGAAAAAGTTGTATTCCCTCGCAAATGACAGTAGTAATGAGCTGATACTTGCGCGACAAAAGTATTTGATTTCACAACACTTTAACTAAAGCTTTATGCATTGAAACTGATGAGAAAAGAACCTCACCTGATGAGTCAGCTTTTAGCTGAAATTTTCTACTTTACAATTAGACTGTTGCCTATGCTGGACACGAAGATCAATGTTTCAGCTGTTGCTGGGCCTTCAGAGACCCGCTTCTCTAAAACGGATTTTCAGAAGCAAAAAAATAGTTGCATCAAAAACAGTTAGTTTAAATGAAAGACTACATGCAAAAAAACTATAAAAAGCTACTCTGGTCATTTTCGAAACATCTTTTGCAGGGTCGAGAGGATGATCTAATGTTTGTGTCTAAATCAGTGGAGTCTATTTGGAATTTTAGAGTAAAAGCCTTTAAAAAACCTGAGGACAGCAGTTATTATAAGTTTTCGCATGTGCTCTTTCATATGGGCTAAATTTTTTGAAACGACTATTTTTTGGTTTTCGAAAGCCGGCTTTCTAAAACTCGGTCTCCAGAGATCTAGCAACAGCTGAAGCACTGATCTTCGTGTTCTACATAGGCGACGGTCTAGTGTGTATTAGGTTTCATCACAAAAACGATTTATTTTGCGAAGACCTTTGGTCTTGAGTTTTTTCCAAATGCTGTTGCGGTGTACGGTATCTTCATATTCGCCCGCACGTGTTTGCTTACGTCAGAACAAACTCTTCTAATATTCCTGAATATTGACGTAACTTGCTCACACTCATAGATACTGTCTCTTTGCCTATTGTCAGAATGATCATCACTAATTGTGTTTTCTAACGGGCAATAATTTGAGAATATAAATAATTGAGTCAACAGCGGTTGTTAAATTTAATTTATTCATTATTTATCTTTCGACTTAATTATTAAGTTCTTTTGTTCTTTACTTCATATGTTCTCAGTTGATTTTTCTTTGTAAAACATACTTTCATAATGACAGATGAACTATCTAAACGTCGACATAATAATTCAAAATAAAAAAATAATTTCATTGTATTATAATCAAACTTAGTAATAAGAAAAAGATAAATAAGGAATAAATTAAGCTCCAAATTTGCTGTTAGCTCAATCATTTTTATGATTATCACTAGCTGCACTATGAGTTCTAGCTTCATTTTTTTTTAAATAATTTTCATTATAGCTACAACACTGTGACTGAGATTTTGAAAAATCCCCACAGTATTAATGGTCATGCTGTTCAAGTAAGTATAGCACGCCCAAAAACAGAACAATATCTTCAACAACCACAAGAACATCAGAGATGGTCCGATTCTGCAAATAATCAACATAATTTCAATACTACAGTGCAAAACAAAAACACGTCGCCTTATCGTCAACGTAATGAAGAGAAAGACGAACACAGTGACTCGAATGAAAGCTCAAGTTCTTATGGCACAATTAGACAACAATATAACGAAGGACGAGGAAATAATCGAGGACGATACCATCACAACAGGGGAAGGCCTCCAATCAGAGATTTTCCAAGCTATCATGGTAAGTTGTGATGTACCACAAAAAATAGTAGATGATCACTCAAACAAAAAGCACGAGAAAAAGCCTCTGCATAGTAGGAGTTGGCAAGAATTTTGACCCAAAAAGAATGGTCTCTCACCGTCTGCAAATTAAACCAAAAGACTTCAAAAAAGTGTGACTGAAAAAAATGAAGACAAAGAATACAAAGGATGCTTGAGTGCTAGCGTGAAGCGCGAAAAGAGGAAGTAGATGTCAGGAAAAGAGACTGGAGATAATTACCTGAACGAGCATAAGAAAGTAGAGGTGGCATTTACATAGCACGCTGTATAGGAGTGAACAAGGCTCTCAGTGCATAGATGGGACCGGTCTAGTTTTTTCCAGACCGGCACCGGTACCGGTCTGGAAAAACTAGACTGGACCGAACTGGACCGGCCGATATAGCAGTTTTACCGGTCTACCGGTTTATACCGATCTATACCGGCTTTGCCGGTCTACCAATAATACATCGATTCTTACAGTGAGGTTCCTTTTCAATGTACACCCCCAAGTTACAAACCTAGATTATGATTCAGAAATGTCATTGCAATGATGCCGTAATGCTGATGTTCAATACGTAGTTTTCTATTAAAAAATAGCGACAATTAGAATACCGTCCTCCGTATAATACGATTAGGACCAATTACAACGCCACGTTACTCTTAGTAATAAAAGCAGGAAAGTGGAAAATTTAGACCAGTTTAGACCGGTAGATCAGTTTAGACCGGTAGACCGGTCGATTCGAAACCCAGACCGGTACCGGACCGGACCGGCCGGCCGGTAACCGGTACCGGTTCCATCTCTGTCTCAGTGCACACTCAATGGAATCAGTCGAACTTGTTTAGTGTTGATACTCAGATTCTGAACTGAAGCAGGTCTCTCGAAATTGCAAAGAATACAACACTCGACAGCTATTTTTTGACTCAAGCTTACCCATCGGATTATTGTTCGCTTTTGACTTACTTGTTTTAGGAGCTGGCAATTTCCAAACAAATAATGCAGATGAGAAGTGAGTCTCTTTCACGGCACCAACCGAATCTCGCGGAAAAATTTCTATAACCTCTAACACAATTTCTTTTAGCAGTGATGAAGCAAATTCACAAAGAGACGCCCGTCCCGGTGCATGTCGTGTTAATGGTCGTGGACGTGGAAAGCGTGGTGGATTTCAAGGATAAGAACAGAATATAAAGTCTTTTGAAATAATCTGGATTAGAAATTTAAAAAAATATCTTGTTTCTTTTTCTTATCCATTATATGTTGCATAAAAGTGATTTTTGGATCATAACTAGAACAAATTGTGTTCTCTCTACTAAAGAAAGAATCTCCGAGAAGCATGTATTGGGGAAAAGTGATAACGGAAAGGACAAACGTTGTGCCGGGCTACTCCGCGTATCGTCCTACATGGGGTAGTTCAGAGCAGTTAGCCAATACAGGTTAGGTAATTAGGCTCAGTCCAGCAAAAATGCCTATGGCGTCGTTTGTAAATCACGTGATCACCTATGGGGATGGAGTGCGAAAAAGATCATGCGTGATCACTCGGAAGTAGAGCCCTGCAGGTTACGCTAGGAACAGGGCAGGGCAGGGTAAGGTTACGAAAATTTTTACAGGGCAGGTTGCAGGTTATGTATGTCGTAACCTGTCAACCTGCGACAAATTTTACATATCAGATATTGTCAACATCTTTTCTAAAGTTATACATAAAGAAAAGAATAGAAGTAAGCTGATAACCAAATTAAAGTGTTTGCCAAGATATTTAACAGAAATAGAAGGATTCTCATGGACGTATAAATCCAGAAAGTTTCATGGCTTTCGTGAATTTTATATCAAAAACACGAAAAAAAGAGGTGATTCGATTGGTGAACCGGACACGAAAATTGATGTATTTGAAGTCCGTTGATTAAAAGGAACATTTTAATAAAGCAAATGAAATGAATTTGATTTGTAAACAAAATTATAGAATTATATTAATGAAAATTTCAATTTTAATCAAGGAATCTGAAAGACATCAATTTTTATGTTCGTTCCATCATTCTAATAAATTTCTTGGTTTTTCTAGTCCCTGGATTGCAAAACTATTCTTTGTACATATAGCTACTCAAATGCACGTTGATTTCTCTAATTTTGAGTTGTATCTTATACTTTTCTACATTTTCATCATAAATTAATCTCTCAAATATCATCAACAATATTAGTCAGATTTTCGTGCTTGTAAAATATCGTCCATGTCATATTCAGAAAAAGATGTTGAACGAGAAAAAAGAAGATAATCATTAACTCCAGATGGTATTATTGATATTTTGATGATTAGAAATTTTCTGGATATGTGGCATTGCTTTTTTGTCTTATCTCTGAAATAAAGTGGATGAAATTGCATATAAAATTGACATGAAAGTTTCGATTTTTCTGTAGTGTTAGACAAAGCAGGGCAGGGCTGGGCAGGTTACAGGCTGCCAAAATATCAGCAGGACAGGGCAGGGTACGAAAAAAATTCACAGGGCAGGGTAGGTTACAGGTTGCCAAAATCTCAGCAGGGCAGGTTACAGGTTGTCAAAATACCTTAACCTGCAGGCCTCTACTCGGAAGAGGAGGAGGTCAACTCCACTGTTCACTTGATCATATTAAGTCAATAGCACCAAAACAATTCTGAAATTCTAGCAGGTGCTAACATCAAAGTTTTGAGATACACTGACGATTACGCTGATAAAACAAGTAACGTTCGTCGCTTCGACTCACTTAACCCTCGACTGTATAAGGCAAAAATATTTTTTGTGGATGCTGGTGATGACAGAACTGATCTATCAATTCTATCTCTGGAAAGCGATGCAAATTGCTTTTAAATCGTCACTAACAGAAAAAGTTTTGCTTTTTTGTAAAATAATTGAAAGTAAACCTCATTTATCAACCAGGAGACGTAAAGAAACTCAAATTATCAAACTCTTCTGACGCAATAAATAATACGGTAATATGAGATGTTCATATATGCTCACAAAAATGGTTATAAGAATGCATGGGTTAATAGTTTTTTTCTAAGGACAATAGAGAAGTATAATTGATGTATTAGCGATAATGAACGTTCAAAGATTAGAAAAAGATTAATAAACATTATTGTATCATCTACTGAAATAAAAGGCAAAAAAGCAAAATACTAAATAATATTGCATAATATTACAGCAAGAGCAACTTCGAAATAAGCAGAATATAAAGCGAGATATGTAAACAGAAAAAAACAAGTATAATACAAAAATTAACACAAGAGAAAAAAAAATCTAACATGCTTGACATAGGTAAAAGCATAGATATTAACAAATACTAAAAAAAAATTGTTTAATATAAAGAAAAAAGTAAAACCAATGAGAAAAACGTTTTTGTGTTTCTGAATATAGTTTGTCTAGTCTTTCTATTTCGGCAAGTTGAGATTTGCTTGGTTTGATGAATAAAACCTTGTAATCAAAATGTCGCAAAATGACCAGATCGGCCAACTGTTTAACACGTGACAAAGGTACATAAATTGCAGCAATGTCATCAGTTTCATTTGGCAATTTTAAATCTATTACAACTTTATTCAAAGTTTGACCTTGACTTTTATGTGTCGTAATACAATAAGCAGGTACAAGTGGTAATGCACGTCGCTTAATCGATAAAATTGCCTTTTGATTTGATTTTTGTCTTTTATCTTTTGGAAGAATATCAGCAATATCAATACGAAATGTTTGTTCTATTAACGGTATTGGAACGAGAGTTGGTTGGAGTTGATCAAGATTGCATTCAATATTCGATTTGGTAATTTCAACTAATGCATATAAAGGTCTATAAATGTATCGTGTGTTGTTTGGAAATGTTTCATAAAGAATTTCTGCTGACACAGAATCTTCTTCGTAAACAAGTTGTCGAAAGATTCCATTCGTTCCATTAATAAGACCCAATTCAATAGCAATATTTTGTGTTAAAATAACAGGCATTCCAGGAACAAATGGTAAAAGACTTGGTAAATGCTCCGTTTTACTATCGGGTAATTGTAACAATTTTTTAATGAGTGTTGGATCTTCATTTGGTTTGCCTTTGCAGGTATCTTGAGCGACACATATCATGGGTCTTTGTCCCATTTCTGTTGCTTTGTGAATTGCTGCCTTATTGTTCAATTTTGTTTGGACTTCATTTCGAAACACAAGAATCGGAGCCTAAAAAGATGAAGATAGAAAAGTATTGGAAATGGAAAAGAAGATTTACTTTATTCCAAGGTGAATCACGTAGAGAGCCTATTGATGGTTGCCCAACTACTCGTGTTAACAATAATTCATAATCGTCGTAATTACATTGTCCATGACGAAGTCGTTCGAGTAGCTGAAGATAGCGTGGATCTTCTGTTCGCATTTGTTGGGTAAGTTTGACGACGCAATTAATTTGTAGAATTAAAGAACGTGCAACACGTTGTTGAATTTCTTTTTCATTGGGCAATTTACCCGATCTCTTTTTCGATGGCAATGAAAAATCGGTATGTAATAGTGCATCATACACAGGTCGATATTGTAAATAATCACCAAAAAAGATAACATTTACACCACCAAATGGAATTTGTGGATCGACATGTTTTGCAGAGCAAATAATTCGATTGAGTTTAGCTAATAAATTTAAACCAACCATACTCATTTCATCGATCAATAAATATTCAACCAATCTCCATTCTTTCTCAAGTTTTGAATCACCTGATTTTATGGTTCGTGGCTTTCCGGAATTACGCTGCTCACCCAAAAATGAATGAATTGTCATTCCACCTATTTCAGCAGCAGCAATTCCAGTTGGTGCAAGCTTTCGCATCATTTGTATTCTTTTTGTAACTAGGAAGTATTTGGTGAGAGCACGAATAAATTGTGATTTGCCAGTACCACCACATCCAGGTATGCAAATTATAAGCTGACCATTATTATCACCTAAAAATACTTTATATTTCAATTCATGATAAATTATTTTGTAAAAATACCTGTACGACAACGGCTGTCGCCATCTAGATGACTGGTTATTATCATAAATGCAGCTCGTTGCTCTCTATTTAATGTAAATTCATCAGCGACACTTTTCTGAGTGGGAAAGTTGGTTGAGATTGAAACAACTGGAAGAATCGAGCCATAATTTTCAAAATTATTATTATTATAGTTATTTAAGTTCACCACGGTTACAACGGCATCTTTTGCAGCATATAAATCTAATGTATCATCTACATTGGTGTAGTTGCCTCTAATTAAACATTGTCTGACTCGTTCTTTTTCAGTCTTCAGTTGTTCTTGCCATTTTGTGTTTAATCGAATAAGGTTTGGTGTTGCAGGAATGAACGGTACAAATTGGTGATTTCCATAATCGATAGATTCATTTGAAGAAGGTTGACAATGAGCTACAACAAATTTTACATATTTATTTTTAATTTTAACTGATAAATTATCTTTAAATAAGACTTACTACTTACATGACTGAATCTCCCAACATTTTCAACTGCTTCAACAGTTTCTTCAATATATTTATCTTCTGTTGACTTTTTGGAGGCGCTAATCGACGCAGTTGTGTATTCATCTATATTGCCTAGTAATTCTAGTAAATCTTCACTATTGTCCATATCATATTCGCCATCATTATCTTGATTCGCAGGCAAGAGAACAGGATCGATTGCGTCATTATCAGTTTGAGCTTCGGCAATAACTTGAAGTAAATGTTCATCGCGATCTTTCTTACATTCATGTAAAAGTTGAATATTTTCTATGATCTTCCATGAATCGATGGAAATACGATTTTGTCGAGATTTGAAAGAATCTTCCCATGTTTGATTGACGTCACAAAGATCCGTAACGGTGCGCCAAGGTACGAAAAGTGTGAGAAGAGCTCGACTATATCATTCTCGAGTATCGTCACGATTCCGTCGAGGGATTTGAGGACCATAGAGAATAGGTACATGAAGTTCGCTGTATTTCATTAATAGATGTGTTGTTGTTTGTGGATGCTGCTTTTGGAAAGTATACCGTTGATTATGTGGTCGATCTTTTTCGTTAATTTTGTGTTCCATCGATGCTGCAGCTTCGGATAAATATTTCAAATCTGTTGCGTTCATTTTTTTCTTATATAGCTTGCTGGCAAAGTCGTATAAACACATATCACTGAGAATGTCGGAGCGATATTGATAATCAATTCTTGTGTTAACGAGTACGAATTTTTTATCATTTTCAGTCGATTGAATTTGAAAATGTTCTTCTTCATATTTTTCGTCATCAATAGCTTCGTCATCGAATACATCATCGTCGATTACATCTGAATAAAAAAAAAACAATATATTTTAGTTGTTATTTAATGAGGGTTATTCCGAATTCGCTTATAAGCCTCCAGCCAATAAAAATAGAGATGAACATATAACGTTTGTTACTAAGAGCGGCTTGTCTTCTTTGAATTTTTTCTTTGCACTATCTGTTCGTTTCACTTTCATATGAAAGTGAAACGAACAGATAGTGCAAAGAAAAAATTCAAAGAAGACAAGCCGCTCTTAGTAACAAACGTTATATGTTCATCTCTATTTTTATTGGCTGGAGGCTTATAAGCGAATTCGGAATAACCCTCATTATGATATTTCGACTCAAACGATCTTCACTGTTTCTCTCGTCTATATGTGCAGTAGAAATAACAGTTAGAACATTTTTCTATTGTACCATTTAAGGTTTGAATAACATTAAATAGTACATTTCAACTATATATAAGGATGAAAGAGAGAAGAGAAAAAAATATCGTGCTAGTTCTCTGTACGACATCTACGGGAAAAAAAAGATATGCATATATATATACTTAATATATGTAATGAATTCGAGTATTACAAATCTAACGATGCCCAAGTATATTTTTGTTTTGATGAATAAAATAACCATTAACTCAGTTTTCAGAGATAAGTTCCTCTCAGTGATTCACCTGAATAATGTCGAAAAAAAAATGTCGAAAATAAAAATATCGAAAATAAAAATGTCGAAAATTAAAATGTCGAAAATAAAAATGTCGAATAGAAGTAAGACCGAAAATAAAATGTCGAAAAATGAAAATATCGAAAAAGAAAAACATCGAAAAGGAAAGATGCCGAAAAATAGAATGTTCAAAGTAGAACTGCCAAAAGCAAACGTTTTTATAGTATAAAATTACAGATGTTCCATATTGGTGCAGAATGATTCAAAAAAAATATCTGAGGCGAGGTGGTGCTAACAATCGGTAAATAGAATGAAGTACACCTATAATTAATACTATTGGATAACTATGGAACGTGTCATAAGCGTCGAGATAAGTATAAAGTATAATTCAGAAAGAATTAAGAAACAAAGGAAGGTTGTTATATGTATAAATTCGAACAAACACATCATCAATAAATAGAATTTGAACAACTTGTTCATGACAACCACAATAGATGTATCTGGAAAAGAAAACATTAATTTAACATTTACCAAATCAAATAAAGGTCAATTATTGTTAGTATTAAATGGTTACTTATACAAATGTAATAAGAAAACCGCAAACAAAAAGTATTGGATCTGCACGTACAAAGAATGTAAAAAATCCATACATACAAATCCGAATGACGTTTACGTTTGCGGTGGTACAGATCCACATGATCATGAACCAAATCCCGATATGATAGCTGCAAGAAACATTCGAAACAAAATAAAAGAACGAGCTCTTCAAGAAATTATACCAATTTCCATGATTTACGAACAAGAGTTGTCGAATTCATCGATCAATTCAACGACTATAGCCATATTACCTACATGTCAAGAGCTTGGTACGTTTCTTAGACGTTAATATTTAGCTCTATTTTTTTCATTTTTTCAGGTCCAACTGTAACTAAAGTTCGAGCAAAGATAGTACCTTTGCTTCCACAATCCTATTTGTTCGACATTCCCGATAAATTTAAAGAAACACTTGATAGAAATCGTTTTTTACTTATGGACGAATTAATTGCTCGTCGTGAACGTATTTTAGTATTCTCAAGTGATCATCAATTGGATTTATTATTTTCCTCGCCTATTGTGTGTATGGATGGTACTTTTTCGAAATCCCCGGCACATTTTAAACAAATATATATTATACACGCAATTTTATTTGATATTTGTAAGCAAAGCTGCTCACATATCAAAAAATTATTTTTTTATTTTAGGTTTGCCCTGTGCTTTCTGCTTACTGATCAATAAAAAAGCTATTACTTATAGGCATATATTCACCGAACTCAAGCAAATGGCAACACAACGAAATAAAATGTTTGCTCCTCAGGTGATTATGACCGATTTCGAGACAGGAGTATCACCAGTAATCAAATCGGAAGTAAGTAGTTAACCATTATTGAAGTAAATTTAATCTTTTTACTCGTAGTTTCCTTCTGCTCATCATTACGCCTGTTTCTTCCATTTTATACAAGCAATATTCCGTCAAATACAGCTTCGTGGAATGCAATGTGATTATGTATCAAATGAAGATTTCAGAATTTTATGTAGAAAATTAATGGCATTGGCGCTCATGCCACGAGATCAAGTTTTTATTGGTTTCGAGGAAATTCAAGCAGCTGCAGATCGATTAGATGGTAGTCAAATGGAAACTTTATTAACTTATTTTGAAGATAATTGGCTTTGTAATATTGATTTATGGAACGTCTCACGATGTGACACACGTACCAACAATGTATGCGAGGGTGAGTATACTGAATAAAAGTCAAAAGATTTTTTTTTTCTTTTTATAGGGTACCATAATCGCATGAATAGTCGAATTTATAGAAACCATCCCGATATTTGGCTGTTGATCAATTTTTTCCAAAAGGAGGAAAAGAGAGTGCAATGCATATCAATTCAATGGCCAGCTGGTGCATCTCGGAAGCAAAATCCTCGCACGATATCCATTCAACACCGTATTAATAATCTTCACAATCGATATAATAGTAATCAGATCAATGCTTCTGAACTTCTCAAAGGACTTGCAGATATTGTAGCAAAGAAAAATAAATAAAGATATGGGTGTGGGTGTGGGTGTAGGTGTGGGTGTGGATGTGGGTGGGTGTGGGTGTGGGTGTGGGTGTCGGTTTGAGTGTGGATGTGAGTGTCGGTTTGAGTGTGGATGTGAGTGAGTGAGTTAAGAGAACACCGACACCCACACCCACACCCACACCCACACCCACACCC